GATTATTTAATTTCAATAAAAAAATCAGTTCATGAAATAATAATAGCTCTAATAACGAAGTGTTTTTTCAAGGACTGACATAATAATAATAATAAACTAAAGATATTGAAATCTATAAAGTATAGGCATTTCTCCCACTACCTAGCGTGCTTCGTGTTCTGCCCACCGGGCCGGTATTCCAGGTCTGTGTTCGTTCCGGGAAGGCGCTGCTCATATTACTCTCGCTTTCCAAGTAACTCTGTTCCACAGTGGCGCCCGGAATAAAAAGGGTGTTGGATGAGATTTAATACCCGGATGCGATGGGTCTCTAAACCCAGCACCTTTAAGGGGAGGTATATAAGGATTTCTATGTTTCTAGCGTGCTTCGTGGGTAGGGTTGAGCTGGGCGGTATTCCAGTGGTCAGTGCTTCGATTCCTGGCGAAGGCGGCTGCTAATTTTTCATCTCTCCGGCTTTCAAAAAATCCTAATGTCTCTACATCACTTATTCCTAAACTTTAACATCAACCCTTTTGAGACTGCTGATGGCATTTGCCACCTCCATATGTAGAGGTCTATTTTATCAGTAGTAGAGATAGTTTTGCTATTCACTGTCAGCTTATCTGCATGAATTTTCCTATCTGACTGTTTACCTTGAGACCTGACAGTGGCAACTACCATGACATCCTAGTTTCTAAAACTCAAGCAGGAATCATTAATATGTTGCAAGGGAGTTCTTCTAACATCTATGAACAAGTAAACAATATACAACTATCTATTTACCTTCTTTGCATGTTTAAAAGAAATCCAGACAAGAGTTAAAAGAAAATAGACTTAGTTAGCTTTACCGCAAGGTATGGCCAATCAATTATCGGTTTTCTCTTTTTTTCGGGGAAAGGGGGGGGCAGAACTGTTAAATATTTAACTTACATACATGAGGCCATATTGCCTACTGTGTCTTATTTCCTTATGAAATTTCTCAGTTGCTTATATACGAGGTCCTCTTATATTTGGGAAATAGAATTGCTATTAGCTGTCAACATAAATTAGAAAAGCTCAAATATAATATAGTTATTTATTATCATCTAAGATTTTGGCAAAAAATATAGTTGCCTGTAATTTACTAAAAAACAATAGCTTTAAAATGCACAACTCAGGCTACCGAATCATTCATAATGAGGTTCTGTTAAGTAATGTATATCGTAGCACCAACCACTAATCACTAGGTGCGCCCTCTAGCGGTGTGGATGTATCAATAGCATCTCTGTATCTGCTTAAGCTCCAGCAACTAGCAGAGTTTAATTCTTTGTCCTATGCAAACTGTGCATTGAAAATTATTTCCTATTTTAAAATTCAGTCCACTGTTTCATAATTCTTCTCTAAATCAAACCTCCCTAACATTTGGTTGGTCAGGCCGGAGGTCTTAGCAGTGCATTAAGTTAAACAGTTTCAATCCTAAGAACTATGGCGACTGAATTCGTCATTACAATGCTGAATCACAAATGTGGCAATATCAAAGGACAGTTAAAGAAGATTACTATATGTGAGGATAAAAATATTTCCGAGCTGCAAGCTCAGTTGGATGTGATTTCGAAACTTCAAGATAAATTCGATGTTCTAAAGGAAGAATGTTACAAAATTGTCAGCAAAAAAGATTTTGGATTCTTTAGAACATTCTATCTAAAAATTCTTTGAAGTTGAATCCTTTCCAGGAGATGATACAAATGACGATTCTCAAACGTTTGAAAGAGAATATTTTGAGCAACATTTTATTGCCACTCACAAGCTCGATGACACTGGAAGATTTATTGTTAGATTACCCATTAAGGAAGGAAAACGTTCTAGTTTAGGAGAATCTAAATAAATGACGGAAAGACGTCTAAATTTGCTCTGGAACAAAAATCAAACTATGACTGCTTTATATACGACATTCATGGATGAATATCTTGCATTAAATCATATGGAAAAGGTTACTTCTGACTGCGAGAACTGTAGTGAAAATTATTACATCCCATATCACGCAGTGCTCGGCCAGAAAGCATTTCTACCCCTCTTCGTTGTGTTTGATGCATCAGCTAAGTCCGCAAATGGAGTAAGTTTCAACTCCTTATTAATGAATGGTGGAACTGTGCAACAAGATCTATTTTCAATAGTAACTCGTTTTCGAACACATATATATGTATTTAGCACAGACATTACAGGCAAATTCTTGTCGAAGAAACTGATAGAGAACTTCAGAGCATTTTGTGGAAATCAAGTTCGTGCTCACCTGTTGAAACTTACAGACTGAAAACAATTACATATGGTACAACATGTGCCCGTTGGCACGGAATAAAGCTTTAGTGCGGAGGGCATAGGTTTTCCCCGTGCTTCGCAATTGACGTACTCTGACTACAGGCTGATATTAACAGGTTCAAAAATTTACAGGACCCAATTTCTTGCAATTTGATTCTAAATGATGAACACGGGTGCATGCAGTTACATAAATGGGTTTTAAACCATCCAGACTTGTTAAACGAGAACAAGGCTACCGAACATAACTTTTCTTCAGATTCCTATCTTGTGAAAACTCTCAGCAAGGGTTTGGGCATGTAATTCCGATAATTTAACCTTTAAGGTTAATATAGAATCAAAGGCATGTTTCACAAAAAGGTATTTTCTATCTTCTATAGCAAGCCTGTTTGATCATCTTGGACTAATTGGTTCAGTGATTACAAGGGCAAAGATATTTCTACAAAATCTGTTGAGAAAAATTTTAAAATGGTCTGATCCAGTTCCTCCCAATGATATGAAGGAATGGTTAAATTTCTTAACAACCCAACTTCACACTTTAAATCAAGTAAAGTTCCTAAACATGTGATCATTACAAATCCCATAATGATTGAATTACATAGATTCAGCGATGCATCGGAAGCGTGCCTATGGTGCAGCAATCTACATAAGCTCAAAATATAATCAAGGACAGTGGCAAACAACACTGTTATGTTCCAAATCTAGAGTATCTCCAATAAAAACCTTAACAATATCCAGGCTGGAATTATGTGCAGCATTGCTACTAGCTGGACTAACTTCAAAGTCATCTCCATAATTCAAGTTGAGTTTCATCATGTGTACCTGTGGTCGGACTTTATGATAACATGTGCTGGGATAAAAACTCCTCATGAAAGACTTTGTATCCAACTGAATTAAATTAATCAATGAGCTATGTCCTGACTATGGAGACATGTTTTTTCAGAAAGCAATCCAGCTGACTTCATATCTAGAGGAACCAGTATGACCAATCTTCTGCATAATTCTATGTGGTGGACTGGGTCTTTAATTTTAAACTCAAACATTCCATCTTCTAAGGAACCTATTAACATGACTGATGATGAATTATTCTAATAAACTAAAGACTATTTATAATCCTGTTAGTTTCTAACACTACCAACAACTTCATTGATGATTTTTTAAATATTAGTAACAGTTTTACTTAACTCGTACATGTTCTTAGTTATATTTGCAGATTTATAAATAATATCAACTGTCCTAAGGATCGACATGTTGGTAAGTCAGAACAGAAGAAGTAATAAGTGCAGCTAATCATTTAGTTAAATTAGTTCAACATGCAACTTTTAGCATGAATTAATGTTAAACATACACGGTTGACGTGCGTCCGGTATAAATTTCTATCTGTTAGATCGAAAGCCCTCTTCGAGTTGGAGGTCAATCCAACCTTCTAATTGAGTTCGGGATCAAAACACCACCGTATAAGCTGGCATAGGTTCACTGAAATCTGGAATATTTCAGAGGAAAATTGATGTAGGTCCCAGCACTTTGCATTGTCAGACAAGAATTTTTGTCCATTGGGCAGATCTGGCTCCAAGACTGTGAATGCTGTGTTGTTGTTTAAACCAACCATCATTCACCGTATGGACATTACCACTGAAGCGCGGAATCCACGCCCACCTTTTTAATGTGGGACTGATTCGGGGTCCTTTTAGGTACATAGAGGGCCCTCTCAACGGTATATGTCGCCCTCTTATAGTTGCCCCAAGCAATCATTAGCGTTATCATGATTTAACATCAAAGGCTCTTATAGCAACATTAATAAAATGTTTCTTCTCAAGAAAAGGAAAATGTTTAAGTATATTCTCTGACAATGCTAAGAATTTCATTGGTGCAAATTCAGAGCTAAAGAGATTGCACAAACTTATGAATAATCCAGAGAAAGATTTAGCGAACTATTTAACATCCGAATGTTCAACGAGCATTCGGATGTTAAATCTGGGAGGGATTTAACCGGGAGGATATGGAAGGGATGCCCAGATCTCCAAACTTTGGCGGGTTATGGGAATCAGGAGTTAAATCCTTCAAATACCACTTACGAAGAGTAAATGGTTCATCTAAATTAACATTTGAAGAGTTATTGAGAGTTGTAACAGAAATAGAAGGGATCTTAAATAGCCAACCAATCAATTCAATATCAGTAGACCCCAGGTCATTTTTTAATTGGTCGTCCATTAAATTCTGTTGCAGAACAAACAATCATTGATAAACCAGACAATTATTTAACAAGGTGGCAAAAAACAACAAAATTTGTTAAATGTATTTGGAAACGATTGTCACTTGATTACCTCAATCATTTAAACTTGCAAAACAAATGGATGTTTCTAAAAAATGTTAAACTCAATGACATGGTTATTCTTAAAAATAAAGATTTGCCTGGAAACTTGGTCGAATTGAAAGGTTTGTTAAAGGTGCAGACAATGCTGTTAGAGTTGTGTACGTCAGAACAGCTAATAGAGTAGAAAACGAGGCATTCAAATTTGTTTGTTACGCATAAATGATTTATGATTATTATTAAAACAGTCTTTAAAGTCAAGAAATATTAAATTATGCAAAAGGTTGGTTTTTTACACATCTATAACTTGTTATAACAACAATAACAAACTACGTATTATAACAAAAACATGTCACAAATGAGAGGGTTTACGTTTTTTTTTTAAATCTTGAGCTTACAAATCAAAACACCACACCATAATAACATAAATAATAAATTTTATTAACTTTTTTCCATATCTATACAATTTTCAGAATTCCTGTAACTACTGCTTTGCAATTCTCTGCGTATTTCAGGAGTCACATGAGGATGGTGATGAACTGTAAGCAAATGCAGTAATCCATTCTGCTGCTCTGCAGATATATCATTTTTATATATCTGAGCAAATGTTAGTAAACACTGATGCCACAACAAAGGAAGCTCTCTCTTATCATCTACAAACCTTAAAGATAAAATAACCTATTAACTTTCTTACAGATGCAAATTTATTTTTATTTTATTATATTACATTAAGTTCAAAATAGCATAATAATTAACTGAATCTAGAAATAAAATTTCATGTATTATAAAAAATTACGAGCTGCAACAGATGAAACACAACCCACTGGATACAGAGGCTAAGATGGAGATTTTAAAATAATCTTTCTTATTTTAGTCCTAAATTGAACATAAACGGCACAACTTGTGCTACAGAAAAAACCAAACACTCTTATTTTTACCCTTTCTTACATTTAAACTTGACTTTAGCATGTGAACCTCAATATTTTATCTCATTTTTAGCATTGGGATAAATTACCATTATTTAGTTAACTGTTAGCCTAATCAGTACAATGGTTAGCAATGCTGGTTGCCTAATGTTTGTCAAGTGTCTGTGTGGCATGGTGGTAATACTAGTGAGTTGAAATTCCTCTCAGAGATGTTTTGGTGGTAAGAAAAGAGGAATAGAAAACCTTTGATCTGTCCCAAGGGATTTTCTCAGTCCAATTTGGAACAAAGCTACACAGTTCATGTGTTGGGATTATACCTGTACAAAGAACAGTGAAATTCTGGTGTTCTGCCCAGTTCTACCTGTGCCCGAGTAGTTGACTTAGAACACAGTATTTAGTTAACTTCACAAATATTTCAAATTAATTGATAAACTATTGCTTGGCTTTAAAACCTCCTAGAATATTAACTGACATGACAGAAGAAAATGATACCTAGCAGGTTCTGGTACAAACTTTGCCACATAATGTAATCATTATTTCATGTAATTTTTATGATTTATTGTGTTTTTATTTTTGTTCTTTTTTTGGCTCATGTACAATTATTTGCATTTTTGTTTTTATGAAAAGCAAACAATTAATTAGAGCTTGATACTTTGTTTTTGTAAGGTAAAAGATATAACATTATGCCCAAAGTGGCATTTTTTTTAACGTTTTGTGTGTTATTTATTTATTAAATATCATGTTCTTCACACTTAAAAGCATAAAATTCCATTCAATGGCAATATCGTAAAATAATTTTAAAATGAGCTTATCTTTAGATTTTGAAATACACAGTTCTTGCGTGCTGAAGATATAATCCCCCTCCCATACAGTGTTGCCATTGCTCCCTTTGAAATCATTGAGTTTGTTAATCGAAAATTCGTTAGTGTTACAAAATATGAAATCAATAATAAAACAAATTCCAAATTAGGGCTTTCAGACACCCATATTCGATGGAGGACTATGTTATTCAAAATTTGATGGCTCTAGGTACCATTTATTATCAAACTCAACATTATGTAGATCTTCATATCATTTCTTAAATGTACACGGATTTAATATTTGTTGGCCATTGAAAAGTAAACCGACATTTAATGAATCAAAGCAAAATGCCAAAACGAAATTAATAGCACTTCTGGCCTAACACTCTTTGAGCTACAGGTGTGAAATTGTGGGAAAATGTGAAAAATGGTAAAAGAAACACACTTTAATTTCCATTTAACAAGCAAAAAAGTGTAATGACTTGGTAAGTACATACAACATTACCATTTTTGTTTGATAAATGTATGCAACAGAACCCTGAAAAATTAAATTTAGGTACTTTTCCGTTTTGACGGCGCAAACGATAAAGTCGCCAATAATGGTTTAACTGATGCCAGACGGAATATCTTTGTTGGTAACCTTTTACGCCAGTTTCAAACAGTTGAAGCATTTCTTATCAGTTGTTTCTTTCAATACTGGCATAAAATTTATAGATTTTACACGAATTAAATTTATCCCCTAAAATTCACTGTACTAAGTCAATTAGTTTAAGTCATTAGAACGCATTACACCGCTCATCGAAGGCGAAATCAAGTGTTAAATTCATCAATTCTAATGAGAATGCACTAGCGAAGTAAAGCACTGCGGTTTTACAGAATTTCTGGTAAGCTATTCGTACGATTGAAATAATTCTTGCTTTAACTTGTATTCCAAATAAGGATTTAACTTTAATTAATGTAATAATACTGAGCGAATTAGATTTTAGTAGCGTAGTTTACGTGAGATCATTTGGGGTCACTGATACGAACCCGGCGAATCAGGCATTGAACCATGAAATCATAGAAATTCTTAAATTAATGTTTTTACAAATTTATTGTCTTTATTATTGGCTTTTTACAATTTAACCATATTAAAATGTTTATGCCTTCAAAAAAAAAAATCTTAGAATTAACATTTTTTGTGTACTGTATGTTGTCGCCAACAAAGTCTGCTTGGCGAGATTTGCGCCGGCGAAACGGAAAAGTACCAAAATTTATCCATCAGCAGGGTATTTGAGCATGAGGGAAAACAACAACAATGATAAACATAAGGAAATATTTCATACAGTGCTTCACATTTGTTTTCAGACATCTGTATTTTTGAAATTTATGAACACAGATCTTGTACTCAGTACTACTTGATTTTCTTTGAACCAAATTCAGGTTCCCTTGCTATTTTTTTTTGGGGGGGGGTCGAAGTTGGAAGTTTTTATGAAGTAAAAAATAGCACATGCATTATCAATGATTAAACAGGGAAAAAGGCCGGAGGTGCTTTATAATAAAGGGACAATTTACATACTCGCTAAAATGACTGAATGACAAATTTTGTTACTTTAATGTTGTATGCAGAAATTACAAGAGAAGCAGTGACTAAATTAAACTAAAAATATAATTAATTACTGTTATTTATTTAAAAATTATTAATATTTCCTATAAAACATAAATGTAGAATTCTCCCATAAGCAAAAATTCTTAATTTTCCAACACACTTAACAATGTATTTAGGGAAAATCTCTCACAACAGTCATCTCAAGACAACTATTTCCCAAAGTAATCAGTATTTCTAAAAGAATGTAATTAAATGATCATAGTGAACATCAGCGATAGTCATTTTTCTAATATGTCCACTTCCATGGAACAGCTGAATCACATGAAAACATGGGTAATTACTTTAAGCAAAATCCAAAATTTTATTAAATCATAAAGAATAAAATCTATAGTAAATTTCTATTATATGAAAAATATATTAACATCACCTATTCCGATTATTTTTTAGCTAAAAACATGTAAAAATATATGAATAAAAATAAAATAAAACAGTAATAATGAACCAGATGCCTTATCATAACTGATGCAACTTTTTCATTATTACTAAATAATGTTCTACATTAATTAATGCAAAATGTTTACATTCTTCAAAATTCTAATTCTGCTTATGCCCCCCACAAAGTTTAAAAATTTTCATGTTAAACTTTACCTATCTTTTGAAATTTAAATTAAGACCACAGATGAGATGGGAAGAAGTCATACAGTAAGTTAAAAAAAATTCTGTTATTTAAAGAACTGAGAATATGTTTACTGTTATCTTATCTTTTAAAATACATTGAATGAGCATGCTTGGATATATATATTGCATTCATTTTAAAACATGTATGGAATAAAATTATTATTTAAAAGCTGTATTTCTATTATTTTACTCTCCAGTTCCATCCATTGTTACAACTGTTTTAACCTACCAATTGATACAGGGTGCACTATGAAACTGGGGTGATGATCATATGCTGCACTGATGGTGTGGCTTCATGTGGTAATTAGTGCTGGTTGCGTTTGTTACCGCACACACGTATTTCTAATCTTTGTGTGGTCCCCCATGAAACCCCAATTTCTCAGAACTGCTATGAGAAAGGTATTATCTTAATTTTAATGCCAAAATGCACCTGTTACTATATAACTGGATTTATGTACCTTTAATATATTGCCTTAACTTTTAGGACACATTTCAAAATGTACATATACATACACTCCCTTAAAGATGTTACAAAAAGTACTCTGGATTGTACACATACAGCCTTATTGGTCAGAGGGTTAAATACTCTATAACACAACTGTCTCAAAACTGTAATAATAGACAGAAGTGAACAATAAATTCAAATACAAGAAATGCAAGATTAATATAATGATTTTGTTTGTTATAAAATGAATGCACAATATTTTAGTGAAATTTGTGACATATTACAATTCTAATTTAGTTTTAAGTGTATTAACTCAATGCTTAATTTTAAGCATAAAACTTCAGTTTTTCTTCAGATAATTGTCAAATTTGTACCAATTTCTTTAAAAATCCTTCAGCTTACAAAAAATAAATTTTTTGTTAACATTTATTAACATAGCTTACCTCAGAAAATGGGCCACAACAGCGTCTACGACACGGAAGGGCAATGCATACTTCTTTTCCAGCAAAATTCTCATAAAAATGCTGTTGGCACCATTGTAATCCATTTCTGCAATTCTCAATAAAGCTGCACTTGAGTGGAGAACAGGAATGGAACATTTAGCCAACACACTACCAAAAATTGTAGCTTCTCGTAAAGTGCATGTTCCTGACTAAGAAATAAAAAAGTTTAATTTTAAATTTGGGAAAAGAGGGGTAGGGGAAGAAATAAACTTTCAATTTTATAAATGTGGAAATAATTCAAGTTTTAATGTAAGGATGCAAAAAATATTTTTAAGTATGTGAACTGAATTGAACTGATTATCAACTGAATTTAATTTTGTATGTTAAAGTACTAAACTAACATAGGATGTTTCTGAAGTTTCAAGAACTGAGTCTAGCTCAACTACCAGACCTTATACGCAATAGTATCAGAAACAGACAAGTCTTGACACGTTTATGCAGCTGTCCTGTTCAAAATTCAGTTGTTTCACTAATATAGGCACACTTTTGAAGCACTGTTTTCCTATCATAAAGATACAAATAGCAATAATTTTCTTATTGTGGAAAGAGGGTAGGAAAACTTCAGAAATTGTTCAACATCTGTGATGAATATTCTGTTTCCACAATTAAAAAAACCATTATGAGGTCAGTTTGGAGTTTAACCATGCCATAAATAAGCAGATTAAAGGAGGCACCAAAAAATTATTTGCAGACAGTTTGTTTTCATTGGAACAAAAGTATTCAATTACATGAGAATAATGTTGGAAAACTACACAGTAAGATTGATAAAAATTGACGAAATAAAAAAATTATCCCTTAAATCCTAGAACTTTGGAAACATCCTATGTAATTCAAAATGAAGTTCTTTAATATTAGCTTTAAAAAGTAAACAAATTCCTATATATTTTTCCTAACTTTAAATGTAGTTTATATATAAAAACTTTTCTAAACTAACAAAAAATTTTGATATTTAACAATAATAAAAACTGCTCTGCATGAAAACTAGTAAAATTTGTAATAATGATGAAATAAAAGACAATTCTACCTAAATTTCTAGAAGTTCAGAAACATCCTACATATTTCACTAATTACACCAAGACAAATTTTATTAATTACATTAAAAGCATAAATATAAAATAAGAGTATAATGGCTAGTTACACTAAAAAAATACTTATGTTTTAAGTATTCATTAAACATTTGGCCTCAAATAAATAAGTCTGATATGCCGTGAAGAGATATTAATGTCATATTATATATCTGCATTTCTCAAACCTTTTGGATTTATTGCCCATTCTTACTTTACTGAGTGCTCAATGCCCCCCCCTTGCAACCTAAATCTGTGAGCTGTTTCAGGAAAGTAAAGGCTGGAGGGATTATGAGATCTACAACAAGCTTTCTCCCTTCTATTAACGAACAAAGAGATTTGAAGGTTTTAAATGCTAGCTTTTCAATTCCTAACGATTCTCTGAACTATGAATTGCATTGAAATGTTTCACCTAATACATGCCTTTTGTTTTAACCCTTTACCTATGCTAATGGAAATATTACTCACTTTAAATTTCATTATGACTATGTTGTGCCAATTATGAATGACTTTGTTGAACTAAACTTTTTGAAGTTACATTTTATTTTTCAAAACTTCAACTATTAATGTTTATTTTACTTTTTAATCACACCTTTCTATTTTTTTAAATTTTATTAATTGAGAAAGCTACAGCATTAAGTTTGGGGATTAATAAAAAAAAATACCATTAATATATGAAATTTGGATTTCTGTATTGTTTCTTTTAGTTCCTTCCTAATGTATAAGTATATTTTGCTCAAAACTGTTCTGACAATATGTACGTTTTTGGTTTGGGAATAGTCATCTGCCTCTTTCTAGAGGAGACAGATTTATATTTATATACTAACAAGTGGTAGAAATAGCTAGTATATCTTCATTTGCAAAAAATACTGGTACAAAATTTTTGTTTATATCATAGAAATCTTAAAACAATTAGCAATCACTTTCATACACAAACCTCTAATATATCTTTACATTACAAATATTTATTTTGCAAATGCAACTTTTTCTTTAAGTAAAACTAGGTATACCTTCATTGTAAAGTCATACAGAAATATGTAAATAAGAATAAAAGTCTGGTATTTTACAATTTATAATTTGTTATACGTTGTTCCTGTTATTTATTTAACAATTACAGACTTGTGCTAATTAAAATTTAGTATTAAAAAATTTAATGTATTTAAATTCTAAATACAAAATGGAAAACTCGATTTTATATATTCTTACATCATTTAAAAAATATACGAGCTGTAATGTGACTGCTTCATATTTTTAACCTACATATACCCAAACCTTAAGAAATAAATTTAGATAAGTACTTAAGTTTGCCTAAGCTAATTTTAAGGACACTGAAAAGTTTATATGAGAATAGTCTTGGAAAATACTATTCTTGAAGCCATTTACTTTTAAGGCTAGAATACGGAAAAAAAAAAAAAAAAAACTATTAACGGAATTATAAAGATAGCTGCAACAATTACAATTTTAAAAATTAAAAATGGTCAAAAATTTGCTTATTTTTATTAAGAATAATGTTGAACTTTCAGTCCAATTTAAGAACAGAATTATCACTTCTCTAGTAATCTGTTCAACAACAAACTGCTACAACTACAAATGATTACTATCTTCTTACTCTCTGAAATTGGCACTTTACATAATTAAAAACTTTCTTTGCTGTAGGAAAAAACAATTATGCTTAAATACAATAAGCTAAAAAGAATCTCTAAATAAAATAATTGCAATTTTAAGTAATAAATATATAAAAATATACAGGAAATAATTCGATTACTATTTTTGTTACAGTGTATCAAGAAATTAATAAACAAAATTCAAGGATATTTCAAATAGGCAATACCAGCTAGTGCACTTATTTTTACTTTAAATAAAGCTTTTACTTGATAATTAAAAATTACATTTACCTTGTGATAGATTGAAATAGATTTGGGGTTGGGTGCAAGAAGTGAGGTCAAAAGGGAAAATATCTATTCTAAGGGATACACTACCAGTCTTTGTGTTTTATGGCCATCGTTAGGGGGTCATCATTCAGTATCCTTCAATATGACAGGTATGTGGTTCAATCCGATTTGAACAGAACTTCTAAAGAGGTTTTCACAGCTGGTGAAAGTAGGAAAGAAATAGTCCAAGGCCAGTTTTAGACACAAAAAGCTTATCTTTGGAAATGTTTGCGATTTTCAGAACAGCGAACTGGTTAACTTAGTTATATAAAGAATAGGTAACGGATAAAATTAATACAAAAGTTGAGCCTCATTAGCTTCTATCAATTTGTCATTCTTTGGCTCCATTTTAGTTACATTCTAAAATCCCCTTGTTAGCTCCCAACAGTTGATTTCTTCTTTTAATTACTGGAATTGTTACTGCACTGAACATACATTCCATTAAATAAGAAAAAGAATGATATGTAAAATTTCTATGGTCTATAAATGAGGATAAATTCCAGGTATTTCTATACAAAAACTATTGGTATCTAGATCCAAATTTCAGCTCTTCATGGTTCTTAATATTATTTTATATGGCTATAGAGAACTTTGTGGATATTGTGGACAGAAAATATTTTGTATTTTTATTGTGTATTTATTTAACTTATTTGTCTAATTTCTATAATTTTTGGCTGAAAAGTTCTTAACCCTTACATTTATCTGGTTTAGGAATTTACATTAATGAAAAACATCTTTTAGGCTATTGTTCTCGAATCTCCCTCCCACCTTTTCCTATATTCCAAAAGGCTATGTATGCCAGGGAGGTGTGGCACTCAATTCTTGAAAATCTGGGACATACAACAGATATATCTTAAAGCAGTGTTTCTCAACATGTTTCACCTCATGCACCATTTTTCACAATTGCTAGAAGATAATTTCCCTTGTCATTTCAAAACAATATTCCTTCATTTAGATTATTTTTAATGTGTTTTTATAAATTAAATGAAGAAAAGTATAGAAAATATTGATAAATACCTAAACTTGGACAAATGTAGATGCTTATAAAGATTCATAAACTAAAATTAAATACTTAACAGCTAAGCAAAAGTCTGATCACATTCAACCAAAACTACGAAATTCCCCTCTGGTTGAGAACTGCCACAAAGTTTTTGTATACTGTATTGTTCTTTTGCTTAGTGCCAGTTATGTATTCAGTAGGATGTCTAGCTTAGATCCTAGTGTGTCATACGCTGAGCCAATGAGCCACTGAGACAAAGGGCTTGAATTGGTTCTATGATTCCATTCAAGGTTTTCGAGAGAGCTGTGATATAGCACTTTGATTTGAAGCTGATATGCGAAATTAGAAAGATGGATCCAAAACAGAGTTTTCCATTGGGGCTGAGGAACATCCAGGGAGGAGATGAAATTTTGGCTCTAGTACAGAAAAGGGTGGCCCTTAGACTAACACCAAATATCAAATATACAGCAAAACAAAAATTGCTTGCTTCCTGGGAAAACATTTTCCCTTCTAGTGATCGTAGCACCACCAAATCTTTCATGGTTAATGCAGGCAAGCCTTGAGGAAAAGAAAACATTTAAGTTTTCCTTCCTTTTTGAAACTATTCAATTCTATTCCCTAGCAAAGAAAACAATTTGCAGTGTTGAAGGAATATATGAAAGAAGAAATATGACACCCCAAAAAGCTCATTCAACAGTCTAAAGAAGCAATCAGACCTGAAGAGTACATAGCACAAATGAAGCATTATGTAATCCAGAAGAGCTTTGAAATTAAGGCTTAAATTCATCTTATTCACCATGTATACTCAGATTTATTTCTTTGCAATGAAATACATAGTTCTTGATATTAAATTCACATACATACCTGAAATAAAACAAAATATTTTTATAAAAATAATCTTGTTTTTTAAACAGAATTTACTTTTTTTACCATAATTTATGTTCAAATGTGATGCAAGCAGTTTATATTTTAATATTTTGTTACATTGAAATTGTTATATATGTTTCAGTTTGTCAAAGATGCATGAAGATGATTAAAAATGCATCATGTGATGATGCTCTTAAAATTTTAATGCTTTGAATAAATACATATCTTTTTAAAAAATCTTTTAAACTTGTACTATTTTATTATTTAACAAATAATTATATTTAATGTCCTTGACATTGGAGTGGCAATGGCATATTTGTATCGTGTAATCATTGCTGAGCAACATCAGAAAATGTTTACAAATGTTATTCTGAAATTTTTACCAGTATGAAAAATTTATAGAGAAAGAAACTGTTATAGCAAGCTCGAGTGTGAAGCTATAACAGACAGAACTGTATTCAAATTATCTATCTTCGTGAATTGAGCATAAAATTTATGTTTTACTAAGACACTCATCTGTTATTTTGATAAAAACTGCAAAATAGGTTACAGTGTTATTAAATTGGAGGTTCCACATTAGATAATAGAAATTAGGAGTTTAATTATCGATTTTGATGGTGTTGGTCTCCTAATCCCAGAAAACTGTTGAAATTTTGAGAACAAGTTTTTTTCGCTAATGTATTAAATCCTCACTCGATTCCTACTGAATCGGAGTACCAATGGCCAAGTCTGTTTATTTCAAGGAGGAATGGATGTCAGAAGACTGCCATTTTAAAGCACCAGTAATTGAAGTGGATCATTCAAAGGTCATGTTCTGTGTTTGCATAATTTGTATCCCAGCAAAGAATTGTCAAAACAGGATATTCCTGATCTCCAAAGATAAGATTAACTTTTAGTTTTCTTAAAAAAAAAAAAAAAAAAAAAAAAAAAAAAAAAGAAGAAGAAGAAGTTAACTGAATTTTTTAATACTTTATTTCCAAATTATAGATATATTGTGTAAGCTTTTGTTTAAAATAACTGACATCAAAAATATAATCCTAAATTTATAACTGATATTTGTGGCTAAGAAGTATTTAAAAAAATATTCAGGCTTTGCTGTTATTTGTATTGAATTTTTTTATGTTGATAATTGATATGAGCAAGCCATCCCAGCATTTATAATTAAAAAGAACTGCTTATGTGTGTTTTTGAATTTGTTGCCAAGGCGGTGCGTGGAAAATAAGTAGTAGCATCAAGCCGACGTAGTGTGGTTTTATTGTACTGTCAAACTGGCAAAAATCTTTCTTAGTTCTCACCATCTAGATGTATCATAGACAGCAACATCATCCTGATATATTACAGCTAAACTGTCAAAAATTGTTTCTGTTATCACCAACCAGGCGTGCAGATAGATAGTAAAATCGAAACACTGACAAGGGTATAATTCCATTGTATTGTGAAACTGGCAAAGGTGTTTATATACTTATCACCAATGAGGATTGTGAATAGTTAGTTTAAATGTCAACTTGAAATAGTATTATTTTATTCTGTGCCAAACTGGCAAAGTTTAAATAATTCTCTCCAAATGGTTAGAGTGAATTTTGTATTTGACAAATTGTCTCGTTAAAATTTATATATTTTTTTAATACAAGTGAGATTTTTCAGATTCAGTTTAAAATGAAAGCCTATTAAAGATGATTTGTTCAACATGTCATTCTTAGTTAGGAGTAGAAAAGAGGATTTAAGAGTACTGCATGATAAGGATAAGTAAGAGGTTTTATAAAAAAAAAAGTTTGTTAGAATTAAGATCAGTTATGTTTTCAAAAACTCAAAAAAAAAAAAAAAAAAAAAAAAAAAAAAAAAAAAAAAACTCCTGAATTAAAAATTAATGATGTGTACATGTACTTGAAGATAACGTGAAATGCTGTAACTATAAGTTAGGTAAGATTAAAGCAGTATTTCTTGGAAGAGATGGTATAATTAGATCTTGTGAGATTCAATTGGATAAGGATGTTGTTAGAAGACCAACTGAAAGACTTTTACAATCTTGAAATTCCATAGAATTGATGCATCCACTTATGGATACATGGGGGGGGGGGTTATGATTATGTATTCTCAGATTGCCAATAGATGGCGGTAGTGTTTATAAAAGAAATGGTGCTGTCATATTTGTGTCTATGTAGTAGTTCATCTTTAGTGAATAGAGGTTGTATAGAATATTACTCTTTAAATAACCTTAAACTCTATCCAGTCTGAATGATTACAGACTTATACATTTTTATTTAGGTATGCCTCTTTAAAAAAATTATTTATTACAGTACCTTGATATGTTGATATGTTTTCAAAAATAAAATATATTGGAAAAAAATACAGTAGCTTCCTAAATTAATGCTTATGTATATGAATCTAAAAGCATGGTTGACAATGAAAAATTGTTATAAAAAGATTAAAACAGTTAACAGTTGAAAAATTACATGGTAAACATGAATAAAAAATTTAAAAAAAAATTGGAAACTACAATTTCAACTGTATTTAAGAGCTAATATCTAGGTTTAACTGTTACAAATAATAAAACAATTATGAAAAACTTATCTTACTTGATCATGTACTTATAACACTTAAAATTATTTTATATGCATTTATGTCACCATACGATACAAAAAACAACTAGTGCTTAAAATGTACAAGTGTGAGCAGTCTAGGATTAAAAATTTTTATTTTTAAAATACTTCACTATTGTTCATCATATGACCAATTAAAAAGGAATAATAAAATGTTAAAATATATTCATTTTATGATTTCTGTAAAATAATAAAATGAATATATTTGATTCCTTTTAACATTTTACAAAAAATAATACAACAAATTAAATTTTTCAAAATACATACGATTTAAAGCAACCTGGAGAAAAAATATGGCTTACTTCGCAAAGTGGCAGAATAATGCCTTTGAAGAATGCAGCAGGCCTGAACAAAGATTTTTTCAGTGCCTAAAAGTAAAATAAAGAATTATGAAATATTTAATTTAATAAATATATATTTAGATTCGAGCTCAAAGAAAAAATATATCGAATTCTGGTTTTAGACAATGTACTGAATTATAAATATATAAACAAATAAATAAAATAAAATAATAGTGCACATAAAAAACAAACAAGTGATTCTAATCATGCTTATATAAAATTTTTTAATTAAATTATATATGTTTTTATTCATTTTAGAATAATGTTTATTGTATATGCTCACCTAAAGCAAATTATTTTTACAATGAAACCCAATCACTGACTTGCTTTCACTTTTTGCTCTTTTGACTCTTTTTTTTTTAAACTGAGTAGATTCTGCAAAATTTTTCCATAAATGCAGTTTCATTTAAATTAAGCTATTTTATTACACTTTACTATTCATCAATTTGAATTTGTTTTTGTAAATACATTTTAAGTATTAAATGTAAGGATTTAATTAAAAAACTATGAAAACTACTACTTCATGATTTTTGAGAGTGGGGAGATAACAGCTAACAGCCTAACATTTCTTTATTTTTGCAAACATTTTTAAAGCAATGTTGACAAATCAGCACAATAAATGCAGCTAGAAGAACTACATCATTTATGTATTTTTTTTTTAATACATTCAGAGACAAACACAATTGCAGGCTTTACTAAATTGGTTGTAGTGAAGTGAGAGAAAGAATGTTACATGTTCAGAATGAAAGTTGAGCCCAGTTTAGTTCAGATATGATTGGCTAATTTTAAGTTTTGGCTCCCAAATTTGAAATCACTACTGGCTGAAATGTTTAGGTAAGTACTGCACCATTAGTGTTATGTCAGAATTTTATGAAAAGGATTAATTTTGAAATTATGAAGACAAGAATGATTTACTATCACAATTTACTGTTTTTAGGACACATAACCAGATTAAAACTATTAAAGTTAGTATCTTGATTTATATGTTTTTTATCTTCCATAGCCTCCTTCTTAAAAGAGAAAAAAGGCTTAGTGGCAGAAAAGCATTTTTAGAAAAAAGCATTAGAGAAGGAAATAATAATAATAATAATAACATAGAAAATACAAATAATAAAATATATAACTTAAAAAATACAATAGCATGTAGATATATTTAAATTAAACAAAAGTCCTCTAGAATTTTATGTTCCAAAACTCCTTTTTTGGGAAGTCAAAATAATAATGATTCTTCAGTTAAGGCTTTCGTTACTCACAGAATACATACACAAATAAATAATAAAACACTTTTACTTATCCATCACTATTTTGATACATTATAACAAACTACAAAAAATTAGAATATTCTAATTTCTGTGACATTATAAATATTTTCAATACTGTATTACATCATAACAATTGTTATATTCTATTGAAATTATGGTTTCATTTTTATTTATTTTTCACTTTCAGTTCTTGGTATTATACAAACTGGAGACCTCAAGTTAAAATAGAAAGCCAAGAGACTACTGCATATATTAATCTGTTATCCTACATATTTTTTCATATTATAGCCATATAAAAAGAGCTTTTTCTTCTCTAAATGATGTAAAATTAAAAACCTTAGACAGTGTAAAAAGAGAACTGGGTACCATGTTAAATAATACGCACCTGATAAAGATGAAAATTTAAAGTCTTGCATTCTGCGATGTCATCACGTAAACGGGGAAGCAAAACCAAATTGTAGAACCTTTAAAAATAAACATATATTTTGCACACTCACATACTTTTTCTTATTATATAAATGCAAGCTAAATACTTATATCGAAGAAAAAGTAATAAAAGTAGAGGAATAAAAATGCTGTGAAACCTTCATAGACTTAGGATATACTTATAAATATATATTACATAGTAATAATTTAGTACATTAACATGAATTTATTGCTAATAAAAACATTTTTTCGCCCATGGGATGACTGGGTATAACAGAATAGTCCTAATGCAGCTCATGTATGTCATAAGAGGCGACTAAGTGGTATAGCCTGGCACCCTGCCCTGGGGGATTATATCATGGATTGGTCCTTCAGGTTGGGGGTTGGCATGGGGATTCAGAAATCTCAAACATTAAATCATAGATGGATACTTCTGCAGCCAGAGATATTGGACTGATCATTAATGAGAGTAAAACAAAATTTATGGCAGTAATATGTAAAGTATATAATCCCCTCCCACTGCAAATAAATTCTTATACTTTCTAGGGTGCTGCCCAATTTACATATCTCGGTACTATCATCTCTAATGAGAGCAATATTAAACTTGAAACTGACAACAGATTACTTAGAGCTAATAGATGTTATCATGTTTAAAGAATTTATTAATATCTAAATTATTAAACTTCACGGCAAAAATAAATCTTTATACAACTCTTATTAGAACTAGCATATTGTATGGTAGTGAATGCTGGCCATTAACCCCTTGAGTTTAACCCCCGCCAGTGCGTGGAGAACGAGGACTGAGCCCTCCAAAATGGAACATTGCCACTGGCCCATGCATTTTCAGCAGTTAAGCTTAATTCTACAAAAAAAAAAAAAAAAAAAAAAAAAAAAAACAAAAATTAGCATTTTAATAGAATGGCCTCAGTTTTTTAAATAATTATGTACTTACTATACTAATTCTTAATATGTATTAACATAAAGAATATCACTTTAATAGAAATAAATGAAGCATGCAAAATACTAAAATTGTAACTATACACATGAAAACAAATAGTATACACACGAAAGCAAAGCTACAAATATGAAATGTAAACTAAAGTTAAGCAATAATTATCTGTAGGTAATTAAATTCCAATTTAAAAATTCTGCGGTGCATGGAATAATTCAAAATGAGGATTGACACACAGGACAATGATGGCTTTCTTTGCGAAGCATATGCTGAGCAAGTAAGACGCATCATGCATCGGGAAAGCTGATGTCTTTCCCCTTGTGTAACAATGCTGTAAAGTTACTTTACAATTTTTTTTAATTAACCAATTAGTTTTTAATTAACCAAGAAAGCTTAAGTTTTTAAATAAATATAAAAAAGGACAACCGGTCTGATTTTTCTATCATGGAAGTTCAGCGATGTTACACCCACTATAGTCAGTTACAAGTGTTTTCACACATTCTCCATTTTAATAATGAAAAACAAAACAACCAAAAAAAAAAAAAAAAAAAAAAATGTAACTTACACAGGTGTAATTCCCAGTTCCTTTACATCAATAAATCTATCAAAAACCAAAAGCACAGAACAGAAACTGATGCTCATACATGAAGGTCAAAAGCCATGTGACTTAACCAATGTGAAAACATTATCATTTAACACCATCTACTGGCATTTAAAAATTCAAACAAATTGTTCCATCTTCAAATTATGCATATGAGACGCTAGTCTGAAGAGACTGATCGGAACTCTTCGCATATAAGGGATGATGGGCTGGTTAGAGTGGAATCATTATGTCGCACCTAAGGGACTTTGGTCCTGAATGGGTAAACAGAGACTGATGAAGACACTTCTAACCTTTGAAAGTAAAACACACTGAAAAATTAACGGCCCAGTTAGAGAAAATAATAGATACAGAATTTAGTTTAATCCATGAAATCTATAGTAAATACAAACACCCTAATATTGTCCAAGTCATCAAATCTTATCGTATCAGGTGGCTTGGACATATTTTTAGATGTGACAAATTGAACTCTGTTATAAAGGTGACCTTTGCAAGTGCAGAGGGTACCAGGAAAAATGAAGATCTTTTACAAGATGAATAGACTGCCTGGAGGCAAATCTCAAGACTTTAAAAATCAATCATTTACGGACCATAGTGACTGATCATATCCACCGGAGGAAGCTTGTAGAGATGGCCTTGGCCAATTGTAGTGCAATTGAAGAAGAAAAAATTTTTTTTATCATTACATGATAATGTTTAAAACAGTAATACTATTTTTACACGGCAATGTGGGCAAGTTCTGCACAAAATGCTTTCAAATAATGGCTGCTGATGAAATAGTATACTTTTCTCATTTCACATATTTCTGTTTATTTACCAGTTGAAAGTCTGGCCCTCATCTATGCCATTTGCATTTTCTGCATTCTCCATTTCAAGAAGATTTTCTTATCCAATAACATTTTGATTACCTACATCATAACTGATTGAGGCTAATAATTGAATTTTTGCTAATCCATGTGTGTAATATGAACTTTAAAAGTGATATAGAAAATATATTATGTAAAAATTAACACCATTTTAGTTAACAGCTTCACACTTAAGTTAAAAGCCAAATGACACAGATACTTCAAAAGAAGGAAGTCGCAGGAAGTAAAAAAATTTATGCCTCTTTAATGATTTAAGAATTACCGCATTAACCGGCATATAAGACACACTCCCTTTTTTGTACACATTTTTGAAGGATAAAACTTTATTACTGATCATTATAATGACTTTACAGTATTTTAAATACAAAATAATGAAAAGTAATACTTTCTGAAAATGCCCAATCTATCTGGGAAAAGACACCTTTTAATCTCCTTTGTCAATATCCAGACACTCATCTCCAGAGCTAAAGAAGAGTCACTTGAAACCTCTTCTAAATTCAGTATCTGAATCCTCATTCAACCAATTCTTCTATACCATCCAGTACATTACTAATGCCACACTTCTTAAATGATTTAACCACTGTCTCTGTTTTCACAGCATCCCATGAAGCTTTGAGCCATTCACAAACGACGTATTGACACATCAGACACTATACTATACCGGCGTATAAGACGCACCCCGTTTTTCAGACCTACTTCCAAAGGAAAACATGTATCTTATATGCCAGCAAACACAGTAATTTAAATTATTTCCAATATTTCAATATTAATTACAGATTTTCATGAAAAACAAAAATTTACCTTTGTGCCATTTTGTCTTTCAAATTGGATGAAAAAAGACGAGTAGCTTGATACATAGCTGCAGCTGTCCACTTATCAGGTTCTGTAAGATATAAAATTTGCTCCCAATTTGTCAGTTTTGGAACAACTTTGAAAGCTTTGGGTATTTTTCCACTACGGTAACGTGAAAGTACTTGGGCAACTCCTTTATACATAGGTGCTATTTTCTCCAAATCTTCTTGTCTCAAGCTTCCAGCATCTATTGGGGGGAAATTAATTTATTATTTTAATTCTATTATTTTATTATTTATTTATTTATTATTTAAATTCAGATTATTAATTATGGCAAAATATTAAAGTGCCTTTAGAAGAAAGATTCCACTGACACTTCATTAGAAAAACTTATATGAGAAAGGGAGAATGTGAAGTTAGCTTAGGTTTAATTTGTTTGACCACTAATATCTTTGAATTAATTATTCCTACACATTAATAACTGCTTTCAATAAATGTACACTACATTATACTATGATGCTCTAAAAACAATAAAAATGATTGAAAAACATTCCATTACAATATTTTAGAATTTAGGGTGTATGCAGGAGTAATTGTGAATCCATCTCAAAAATCCCGAATACTACAATGAAATGCAAAAATAAGATATAACTCCAAATAGTTCAGAAAAATAATATGACCCAAACACATACATGCACACACTATTTTCCAACAATTTCAATACGATGCAAAAAGTATAATTTTATAAAATTAATAAAAATTAATTTAAATTTTCCCACATCGTTTCACAATATGGCTTACCTTTTTTTTTGGGGGGGGGCTAAGGTTCAACACATCCCACAAAACCACTTACATTTCATTCCAGCATTCAATTTCACCCTTTCGAGGTAGAACAACTTAAACATTGCATAATAGTAGCCTAACAGATATTCTTTCAATAATCAAATTTATTTCATTTTAAATCATTGTTATAACAAAGGATATTTAAAGCTAGTTTGAAATGAGTTTGAAGTAGTTTATATTCTCAATAAAGAGAGAAAACAGTCTTTCTCTCACTGAAGTTTTCTCTCCCTTTTAAGTTATTTTTCAAATCCATATGGAAAACAATTTGAGTAAACCAAGTTCTCCCCCCCTTACCTGAATACACGGACTGTATTTCAGTTTGCTTCTCAGTTAACTTTTCTTTAATAATATCAGCTAAAGTTGCTTTTTTTTGTGGATCTTTACACATAAAATTTTCCAAAGCCTTTTCATCTTCTTCACTGATTTTCTACATGAAAGAAAATTACATATAAGAATACTTCATAATGAATATTTATAATCACTTAGTTAATGAATATTTATAATCACTTAGTGAATGGATATTTATAATCACATTGTTTAAGACTACACAAAGTGAATCTGAAAAAAATGAGCAAAACTTTACGGGGTGACAGAACACAGCTATAAGAGCAATATTCATCAGAGAATATATGGTCAGAATGCAAGTGATGAGAAGTTAAAAGGTAATTTTGCACTGTCACATTTAAAGTATTAAGAGATGAATGAGAAGAGATACTTCAGAAAACATTTTATTAACAGAAATGTAATTGATGAAAAATGCACACACCCCCAAAAGAGGGGCAGTTCTATATTTCACGTTCTACTGGGCCATTTGGTTAAATCCAGCTTGCATTTTTCATGTCTCAAAAGTGCTACTTAGGATATGTATTAGATTTATATATAGCGTTGTTCTAATATAGGTATTTTAACACAAAATCTGACCTTTTCTGAAATTACATGCCATTTTTTTTCCATATTTCGATTCCACGACTCAAATTATGCCAAACTGCTAAGTTTTGTAAAAATTAGCTCCTCAACGTTAATTGAATTTGACATATATTTGTTAATCTCTCTTTTTTTTTTATTAAACTTATTTGACTCCTTCTTCCAGAATTCAAAATTTAGGCTTAATCCAAATATAATTCACACATTTTTTGATTTACTTTTAAAATTTGTATTTTAAAATATTTTTTATAAATTTTTTGAAAAAAACCTATAAAATTATTACCATTGTCCTAAAGTAGATGTATTTCTAGGCACACCTATAAAAAATTAGAGTTTTTTTATTCAAAATTTTCTAAGATATACACGAATTTACAAATTGGAGCATTTTGAAATTTATTTTATTATTTTTTTTTTGATTGATAATAATGCCAAATGTGGTTTTACTCACTTTGTTAAAATTATTTGAAAGTATGAATGATAACGTTTTTCCCTGCTCGTCTACAGTGAAAAAAAGAAAAGGAAAATAGGTTGTTATAAATTAAGAAGTTCACCAAGTAAATTACTCTTGGCGAAAACCACAAAAAATAAGCCAAGATAAATTTTTGGATTGAAGATTCAACCTGTATACACTTACAATTTCTTCCAGACATTCACTTCCATTTATGCTTTCATCATCATCATCATCATCCAGTCCATCATCAATCAGCAAATGTGGCACCCGTGCTTTGCTGTCAGAACTGCAATGCACAATTTTGTTAATGAAGCACAATAAAATACTAAAAACAAACAAATGAAACTTATTCAGAAGTAAAAGAGAAGAATATCTGATAACACAGATCAGGTTTGTGAATATAAATAATTAAAAAATAACAATTTGTCCATCATTTAGTTTTCAAGTATTAATTGATAAAAATTCCCAAATTCTGGTAATTTTATGTATTTACTTTTCAGGTCAAAATATTTCAGTACAGGCATAAACGCCTGTTATAAAATGACAGCCATTAACTTTACTTGATAACATAGTCAAAAGTCTAATTAATTCTAATTTCAATTCCAGTGATAAAGTAAATTGTGTGTATGAAACTTTCACAATTAATTACTAGGTAAACATTTCAGAGTATTTATTTTATTTTTTCTTTCAGGCAGATAGTTATAATATACTGTATTGTAACTAAGCTTTTAAACTATTGTAAATGAGTATAACATGCATGAAAAATATTTTCAATGCATATAATATTAATATGCATCAGAAATTTCAACTATATATCTTAAAAAATCTCAGAGCTTTCAGATTTTATATTATGCCCAAAGGTTTTTTTTCCTAAATGTTTTGTGTGTTCCCTTTAGTTATTAAATATCATGGTCTTTGTATTTAAACCATAAAATTCAATTCAACAGCAATATCACAAAATATTTAAAAGAGCATATCTTTAGAATTTCCGATACACAGTCTCACGCACTGGAGATAAAAAATTTTTTTTCGTAGAGTGTTGCCATTTCTCACTTTGAAATCGTTGAGTTTCTTAATCACTTAATCAAAAACTCATAAATGTGTTACAAAATATGAAATAGATAATAAAAGAAATTCCAAATTTGAGCTTCCAAATACCCATATTCAGGTGGAGACATATGCTATTTAAAATTTGCTGGTTCTAGGTACAGTTGTTTTATCACAATGCGAGAAACATGCATACATTTATGCAGATTCTCATTATTATTTAATTTCTTTTAATTATAATACAGGGCTCTAATATTTGGTGGCAACAATTTAAAAAGTGATTCGCTGTTTATAGTGAATGAATGCACAAAATGTCAAAACAAAATTAATAGCCATTTGGTCAAATTGCCCCTTTGGGCTAAAAAAAATGAACTGCATTTATATTACATCCCACCTTTCCACTCTATATCTAACATCTATTAGAATTATCAATTATACAACAAATAAGATCTAAACTCTGTTTAATATGGCGTATTCCACCTATGCACTAATGGTACACAAGAACATCCCGTGGCTCCCAGACTACTCTGACTAGACTAACAAGTGACCACCTTAAATGCCCTTCCTTTGATAGTGGCAGAAACATCCACTCCACTTGCAAAAAAATGCTGTGAACATTCAGCTTCACCGGATCACATTCTGAGCTGCATTGGTCTTTCTATGGGGAACTTAACATCCGATCTCCTTATTATCAGGCGGTCAATAACCTTCTGGAGCTGATCTGACATATGTCTGATCTTTCCAGGATAAGCAACAACATATGTCCCACAAACATATTTCGATAATAATCAAGCCATCACAAACTTGTTAACAGAAACCACACAGATACATTCATCGATTTGTCTTAGTTATGCCACATTCTAGTTTTCCCATCTATAATAGAATTCAGTGATTTAAATGTAATATCTACAATTACTAATTAAAAGTAGTATCTACAATTACATTTAAATATCTACAATATTAGAAGGTTATATTTACAGTATCTACAATTACATTTAAATATCTACAATATTTAAATGTAATTGTAGATACTAATATTAATAATAATGTAATTGTAGATACTGTAAATATATTAATAATAATATAATTGTACATAATGTAAATATAATTAATTGTAGATATTGTACATATATAATATACAGATATCTGTAAAATATTTACAGTTACTAATTAAAAGTTTATGATCAAATGAAAGAAATGATTGACCTGTGGCAGCAATAAGCTATTCCAAGCAATAAAGATAATCTTTGATAATGATTCAAAGAAAACCTACATTTTTGGCATTAAAATGAGTTTTTATTTCATGAAAGTTATTTTTCGATTTCTATTCTTAATTAATAAACTGCTTTTGGTCTTGGCTGCTTCATGCTACTTTTCATTGGTACAAAATATTGATCATAACTCCAGAAAAACTTGGAAAAATTGTAGAAACATAGTTTGTTCTTTTGTGTTTAAATTCACCTGATCATCAATATATTAATAATTTTTGAAAACCACCAACCATCATGCTATGTTGAGAGTTTCTCCTTGTTTTTGTTTATACTATGCTGATGCTTATTATTGATTAAAAAATATTCATCTTGCTCACAGGGTCAGATAGCTCAATAAATTCATAATTAAGAAAACAAGCTGCCTAAAACAAATAAACTATCATTTCAAACTAAAAATCATTTTAGATTTTGATAATTTACTAATATAACAAAATTTTAATTTTAGTAAACAAAAACATATACCTATGATTGACATAAATAAAAATGGAAAATTAAAAATCATGTATAAATTTACCCTTTTAATCCCACTTCTTCTTCAAGATCTTCCTGTTGCTTTTTAACTTGCTTTAAGATTTTTCTTGTGAGTTTGTTATCTACAAGCTTTAAAGAGAACAAACAAAATGTTACATAAAATATTAATAATACTTTTTAATTAATTTCACACAATTAGCATTTAAAAATTCTAGTTTCCAGTTCAGTATCAGTTAATCTACTTATGCATAACTAGTGTATCGCAAGTTCTTATCGTGAAGAGTATCTTGAGTGTGTTGAGCTCCGACAGTGATCGACCAAGTTGGTAGCTGTATTTAGTGTTTTGCTGTGAAGCTTTCTTCACCTTTCCTGTAGCCTGAAGGCTGTAATGCTGATCGTTTCTCTGTGCTTGTCATAATTTTTTGGCAACTGTAAATGTGTTTTTGAAACTGTCCTGAGTAATACTGGCAAATAAATCACATTTTGATACTTTATCAAGTGTTGTCATCAATCACTTCAAATCCACGAACCATAGAACGCAACAATATTTATCTAAAGTGACAAGCATTATCAACATATGAAAGTTAACATATTTTACTAATTACATTCGTCTCCAAATCTTTCTGCAATTTTTTTGTGATAGTATTTTTCCTAAGTATACAAAAAAAAAAAAAAAAAAAAAAAAAAAAATTGCAGGCTCATTGCACAAACCTCGGCAACACTGGCATCTACCAACCACAACTCTTTGTTATGGTCTGAAGAGATTTTGCGGCAAAATTCTGTACTTCTGCAGAAATTTTACTGATGTTTTCTCCATTGCTAGCAAATTCCACAAGCACATATTTTAAAACTAAAGCAAAAAATATCACAGTTTGTTTATAAAAACCATTGGAGCTTGGAATACAACAAAATGAACACATTCGAAAATGGCAAAGTTGCTTGACTGAAGGTTTATTATAAGAATGGTTGCCTGAAGAGTGGTATGCACATGGTTGCCACAGTTTGGCACATTCTAAAAATTTGGAGACTTTTACTAAGGTGGTTGTGATAACACATAAGTATCATTAAATGAAATTCTACACAAAAGAGTTTAATTTTTTTATTCATTGAGTAAAACATGATAAATAATAAAATGAAATTCTCTTACATGGATATGTTACATACTTTTATTTTCCCAAACTACAGTTTTTTTTCTGACTAACATTTTACTATCCCAGAATAGCATAGTTATTAGTGAATGATGACTGGATATTATACAAGTTATATGTTTGGGATAAGACATGGAAGTTTTTTACAGGGTTCATACACATTTCTCCACACGGAAATTAAGTACTTTTAAGGACCATTAATGAAAAAAATTAAGAACCTATGAGCAAATGTAAACTGAATAAATTCAATTGAAGATATTATCTATGCCTGAATTTCACTTCTAAAATACCATCCTAAAAATAAAATAGATCCCTAAGTAGTACACACTATTGCTAAACATGAATTAATTAAGATAATTGTTAATAAGTTTGAGAATAAAAAAACTTTATGCAATTTATCAAGTAGCATTAAATATTTTACACTTATAATTGTTGGTCATATTTGAAAGAAGATAAGTGACATTTACGTTTTACTAAAAGTTAGCTTTATGTTGATTTTTTTAATGTCTCTTTTTGTCACATACTAGGTCAGTCTAAAGGTTTAGTAAATAATCAGGTAGATTTTATGTCAAACAGCATAGGTTAAAATGAGAAGTATGATCATAATCAGCATGATTCATAACAAAAGACTGAATGTTGTCACCGCTGCTGCTTGTCTAGAGAGAGACCTGCTGACTAGAACAAACCTGAAAGGCCTGATGTAGGCAAGGCTGGCAAGTGTTGAAAAGTTAGTCAGGTTCTGTTTGATGAAGTTAGTGTCGTAGCTTCATGTACAGTTCCAGGGGTTATAATCCAGTTAAATATACTTTAAGGTTTCAATAAGCCATTAAAGCACCAGAGGTGATAAGTTGTTTTGTATTATTTTAAGTAGATGCATAGAATATGTTTTACTTGAATTTTTACATTTTTATAATTAATCTTGTGACCACAGTGAGTATTAATCAAAGGCAATAACTTGCTTTAATATGTAGAGATAATTTTTAAGGGTAAGCAGTTAGATATAAATAATTAAACTAGGTAGTTTGATAACCCTAGTCATTATGGATTTACATGACCACTATTAAATTTTATTTTTTAACAATATTTGTTAAAAAAAAGCTCTATTTAAATCAAAATCTAATAAAATTTCACAGTTTAAAGTACATGTAATTTATGACACAGATCCTTAAACAATATTAAGATAATTACGCATTAAAAGCTACAGAACATTTATGTTTTGTAACAACAACAGTCAACAAAATATTTATCCGTCATTTTAATTTGAAGCCTTCCCAGACATTTTGGCTAGTTTATATCGATTTCCTTCTCTTTAAGCATCTTTTCTAACAATTAGAGATTTGTCTCAACATGCAAATCAATGCTCTTGCTAGTTTCTGCATCTTTATCTTGTCAACCTCTTCACAATGTACCTATGAGGGTTTAATTGATCTGGTAAAAGTTAAATAATGCAAAACGTCCTACAGGCGTGAAGCATATTATCGCTATGTCTGAAATTAACTACAATATCCAACAAAGGTTTAAATAAGCCTCTTATTTAAAAAGAGCTCAGAACATAAAGGCATGTTCTGATGCTAACAAAATCAATTACAGCTCACGGTGACGTAATTAAACAAGAACAGTCGAATTCAAACTAATAATGTGGACTAGTGGTCAAAGATTATACAATTTAATTTTAACTTAATCTCACTCAATAACTCTATCATATGAGGAAATAGAAATGGGGAATTATAGTAAAGGTTGAAATCATAAACAATTAGGTAATTTACATAATAATAACTGCACATTTTCTTTGAAGAATAATTTTCTTTGTCTTTATTCTTTTCTTTCTTCAACACATTTCCTTTTCATTTTAGAATTTTTTGGATTTAATTAAGAGATTTCCGTTATTCTAAAAAACACTGAAATTGCATTTAGAATGTACAGAAAAAGTGGCTAATTTTATTTCTTTAGTAATATGAACATTCAGAAGCAATATGAAATATATATAGTAAAGTACGGTTACAGAGATGATGAGGCAGAATTTCTAAAATTTAGTGACATACCGAACAACAAAATCTAGAAATGGGAAAACTTTTAGAATTTAGAGTAGGCATTGGAAGTAGAATTTAGAAAGGCTTTAGGAAACAGAATTTAGGATCCACAGAGATTGCATCAGAAGGGAAAATGCCTAGTGCCAGCTATGTGTAAGGAATATTAGATGAATCTTTTAAATTGTAACTTTTCAATTTTTTATTAATAAAAAATTCCCTTTCTATAATGCCTGCCCATGTAATAAAATCAGAAGCATTTTTGACATTTTCCATGCTTCTGTCTAGTGAAAAGTAGAGAAAATAAAGAGAAGATAAATATGTTAAGATTCTAGTATCAGAAATAAAACATTTAAATATAATGTTTTTTTATTGTTCTTCCAGATGTTCTCCGAAAATTAAGAAATTCATTGCAAACTTTCTGTAAAATACATCCATTACATGTTGATACCATGGAGACATTTTTCATTTTGGACATATATTTCTCGAATCTTCTAGAATCGTGGGTCTAAAAATCTTGCCTTCAAATCCTTCTAAACTTTCCAAGCTGCAATGTGTAAAATCCTAAAGAAAAATTATCCCTACCAATTCTGTAACAGCAAAAAGCCAGAAATATTTTGGGAAAAAATAGGAGGGAAAAAGTATAAAATTAATTTTATAGAGAAAACTGATGCACATTCTGAGAATTTTGAATATTCTGAGGCAATTACATGGGAAAAACTCTTAATATGAAAAAATTAAAAACGACATTTTTTAATTAATTACACAGCTAATTTTGCTTTTGCTAAGAGCTGTTTCATAAATTGGGCTTTATAGTATTATACCTTGTTTATTTTTCAGATCTAAAATATTGTATAATAAGTTGCCAAAATGAAACTTTATAATATTACAGGAAAAAAAAATGTCTTATTTTAATGTTATTTTTTAAATACAATTTCAATATACTATTATCATTATTTTAATGAAATTAATCAATGTTACAATGTTTTAGCAAAAATCGTCAAAAAAATTCTCAGACCTCGGAATTAAAAAGTTTTCTATAGAAACTGATCTTAAAACTCACCAAAATATTGAAAAGTCGCCAAATTTAGAACCGTTTAATAAAAGAATTCAAACCCCCAAAAGCGAAAAAGTTGTTTAAGAGCTCTTTACTTAGAAAAAATGAATTTTGAAAGGCTTATGTTTCACTTCTTGCTTAGAAACTCCGAGTATCCCATCATTTATATTAGAAATAGAAGCAAATAACAACCCATGAACCCATTCAAAAGATAACCATATACAGTCAAAAGTCGTTAATCCGGACTCGTCGGGACTTCGGCGATTCCGGATTATCGATTTTTCCGGATTATAGATCATCAGTTTAAATCTCGTAAGATGGCATGCAGAAATTCTAAAATTAAAAATATGAAAACCGTAATTTATGAAATAAAGAACAATTATGATCTAAAAGGTATCAAAATTTACACACACACACACACAACAAAAAAAAAAAAAAAAAAAAAAAAAAAAAGAGCTTAATATTTATTTGTTTTACTTTATTAAACATTTCTCTCAATGTAAGTTGTTTAAGTTGCTTCATTTTATGTGATAATACTTTCTCTTTAATTCTATAAAAAGACATAATTTCTTGTTCAGTTACAAAGTTCCGCTCTTCAAGTCTCGTTAATTGCTGTGCCGAGAACACCGACTAACTTGTCAATTGAAATTTTTTTCGTTTTCACTAGCCTCCCTGTCACATTCTTCATGTCTTTATCCATTATTTGCAGTAATTCCACTTTTTGTTTGTTGGACATCGAAACATACTTTCGTTTTGTAGATCCTTTCGAAGTTCCAGCATCGGAAATTCTATTTGACATAATCGAAAGTTCAAGTTTACTTTTATAAAATTGCTCTTACTGTCTGCAAAAAATAATAAGCGGGATCCAATTCGAAGATTAAGGAACAACGCAATCATTAACAT